CCTGCTGAAAACTTGTAGCTAAAGCTTTTCACTCTCACTTTCAACTATAATTCCTTATTCAAGTAATCTGTGAATTTTTTGTAATTTTTCACACTTTAGTATGATGGGGACTATTATATATGCATAGCATTTGAGAATGAAGGTCCACTTCTTCCATTTCAATCAGTAAATGACACTTACTTGGAGTTCAACAATGTTGTTATCTGTAATTACTGATATTCCCCCCTAAATGCCAACATCATGACATTTATAACTTAGTTTTCATGCTCACCTTTTAACCACCAACAAAATGCATATTCCTTGTAAAATTTGTTTTACTGAATTCAACTTTGCAAATTTAATACTTAGATATGATAAGTATCTATCTTTATAAAAACATTTTTTTTAAGAAATTTTTCCCAGATCCTTTTTTTTTATTTTTGCTCTTATAGTTTCTAGTTTTTATTCTTTTCATGTCTTATCAACGTAAAATCCATATGTTTACCAGATCTGATCTGGAAATATGTCTATTCTTGCTCTCATAGATGGAAACCTGGAGGTCATATATGGAAAGGATTGATGAAGAAGGTGATGAGGAAGGATTTGAGGAATTATAGAACCATTTGATGATGGTGATGTAGAAGGTAACATGCTTATTGTGTCTAGTAGTGTTCGTCTTTGTTCATGTAAAGTTTTATTCGCTTTATCACTTAATAGAGATTAATTTTAATGAGTTTGGAGTTTAAGGATGGACCATTCCCTCAATTTCGTATTATTAGCTGTAGTTTTGCCTATTGGCTTAGGGACTGTTTGATTGAAGTTATTTTTGGTATACTGTATTTGGAATGCAAAAGATTTAAAAAGTTCGGTGCTTGGTTTAAGAAATTTAGAATACAGTGTAAAATTCTGGTGAATTTTAAACTGACCCAGTAGTTCATATTTGGTGTTTTTAAAGTACGCCATAATTGGCCATTTTTTTAAGTACAATGGAGAAATATGCTAGGTAGCGGCCGCCCCATCACCACATCCATTTGTCGTTTGTTTTGTTTAGCTTTCACCGCTTCACATGATTCACATTTTGTTATATATTTAACTATATCGTCATTATGCCGGGCCAACAAAATAATATCTTAAATATTTATACATTTCAGTGCTTCTTGAATGAATCAAATAACTCTAGTAACGAGCTTCATGTATAATCTCCTAAATAAACTTATAATCTTTTGAAATCAAAAGATTTGAATTACTTTTAATCAATGATGCTCATTTACACAAAAATCCTTTCTTTTATTTGCCTGAATTTGATCGATCAGATTTTGACAATCAACACTAGCCTTTTTTTTATTCAATTTTTTGTCCTCTAGATAGGGTGTGCAATCAGCTGATGTAAAGCTATTTTTGTTTTGATTACTTTGTATCCTGACCTCTTACAATAATGCCTCCATATCTCCAATGTGCTCTGCTTTCTAAGTTAGAAACCAGTTTGCATGCTCACTAAACTTTCTACATGCATATGTCAACACATTTTCCTTTTTTAGGATAATATTATTTGTTAGGTTTATAACATTTTATCAGCTTTGACCATCTTTTTTATCTTTAATTTATATTTATTGGTGAAAATATATTTCAAAATTTTATGAGTTATGTACATTTTACATCTCACCCCATACAACTAATGCCTCTCAAGTTTGAAAGTAAATTCTTTTGCAGCCAACCTCAAATTCTATGTTGGATAACTAAAATCATGATTTTGATTGGCTTAAAAGGATATGAGACTACCTTCCCGTTCTGCATTACAATACACCTAGAATCTTTAAAAAAGCATCTTTGCAAATTTGAAATTCCTTAGTTTTAGATGGAATTATTGATATTTGTGCTGATTTCAGATGCCTCCAAGCTCTTGAAAGCTACACGCACAATCATCGGTCCAACCAAATTTGATATTTTTTTGTTCAATAAAGATAAATGGGATGCTATCTATGAAATGTCCTTCACAAAGTTTTCATAAAAGCTAGCTAACCCAGAAAACTTTCTCAATTACACAAGTCAGCTTTGGCCATTTCACCACTGATCTTACTTTTTTAGGATCAATTAATATACATTCATTATTAATGATTTCCAAGAAATAACACTTCTCAATCAAAAGTCACATTTAGAAAATTTGGCATACACTATATACTCTCGCCGCAAACCTAAAATATATCTCTTACAACTAGAATAATGATCATCATTATTGGAATGGATCAATATATTATCAATAATTACTATTACAAATTGATAAAGATAATATTTGAAGTTTCTGTTCATCGTGTCCTTGAAGAATATTAGTGGAGCATTTGTTGGGTCAAAATTCATAATGAAAAATCAGTAGCGCCCATGCCAGGTATTAAATATCATCTTTCTAATCTCAGTTTCCTTTACCCTCGTAACAAAATCTAAGCCAGTTATTAAAACTATCGAAACACTAACTAATTGAACAAATCATCAATCATTGGAAAAAGATATTTGCTTTTAATGGTTACCTCTTTCAACTTTCTATAGTCTATACACAATTTCATAGTGTAATCCCTCTTTTTAATAAGCAATGAGTATTCTAAGGAGATGTACTTGGTTCAATCAAACATTTTGCAATTAACTCTGATATTTGATTTTTTAAGTTTAGCAATTCCTTTTTCTTTGGAGCCATTCTATATGGTTTTATAATAATTATTGCATTTCTAGGCTTGATATTATTGCTAAATTAACTTCTTTCTAGTGAAAATTCAGAAAATTCTTAACTTAAATATCCATATGTTTATTCAATATAAGGATAGCACTTATATCACCAGTTTCTTTAATTGCTTCTATTTTGGCCAATTATATTAATTCACCAGAATTTCTCCTTTTGTTCTTCTTTATAGAGGTAATGAGAGATAAGATATTGCCCCTTTATCACATTGAAAATAGAATGTCTTGTCATTAAGAAAATAAAATCCGACTCTTTTTTTAATACTGATAGCATAGAACTAATCCGCCAGTCCATAACTAAAATCTCGTTAAACATAGTGCCAGCAAAATCAATTCAGACTTTTATATTTATATTTCATCTGTTATCACAATATCAACAAAGTATGGTAACATTATATGCAAACCAGGAGCAAAGGTTTATGTGCAATTTCGCAAAGAACAACTTTGGAAAGAATTATTCGTAGCTCTGAAATGCTGATCATACAGTTAACAAAGCTGATGGCAACAATGCAGATATGAATGAGTGGGACCAACAAAGACACTATGAGATTAGGTTTAGGGTTCGCAGTCATAGAGTGACCAAAGAGGCAAAACCACAAGAAATGAAATGATTGAGGCCAAGATGTCAGGAGTTTAACATGGGGTGGGGGATTGTATTTTAAACCATGACCTTAATTTTGATCAAACAGTTCAAAAACTAAAAAAAGATGAGTTTTGTAATGTGTGAAATTTCTTCCCTATTAGGTGGCCCAAACCACCGTCCATATGGGACTGACGGTTGAATCTAAGTTTCCTATTTTAACTTTATTCTTTTTTTATTTTTTTCTTATTATATTATATGTCTTTCTTCCCTTATTTTTATATTTTGTTAAGTTGTAATAGTCTTTATTATATTTGTAACTTGGGTGTGTTGGAATCAGAGAATATAGCTTCCTCATCTTTTTTCATGGTATTAGAGCCCTAGGAAGAATCCTAGCGGTTCTGCCCTCCTCCGCCGACCTTCCCTGCTGTCCACACAGAACAGCCTCCTCAGCTGACCTTCTATTAGCCCTTCTATCTCAGCCGCATCCTCAGCCTGCACTCTAGCAGCATCCTGTGGCACTCCTGTCCCTGTGGCAGCCCCTTCTCCTTGTCTCGGAAGCACCCAGCAGCCTTCGTCGCTTCCAGCCGCCTTCATTGCATCCAGCAGCACAATCCTGTGGATTCCTGCCCTGCATAGCCATACTGCTACCTTCCTACAGACTGTTTTCAAGGTCCTACCACAGAGAACAGCTCCGGCTGTGTTTCCCTGTTGTCTTGCCGCTTTCCTCTTTCTTGCAGTCTATTCTCAGTATCTTCCGGCTGCCCTTCTACTGATTTCCCTCGTAGCGGTCAACCAACCTATCTATGATCAAATATGGGATGAAGACTTCATGTCCTACCATAGAAGGTGGTAACGAATCCAAAAGCAAAAACAGTTGGACAGCCAAAAATCTCCCCTCATCACCAATAATAAATTCAAAGGCTAAAATTTTCTTCTATCGTCTCAATTAGTTTTTTATGTACATGTGGGAAACGAAATGAACACCTCACTGGAGAAGGGGCCATTCTTGATCTTGCTGATTTTTATCGCTCATAGAAGATCCATGATTATATGATCATGTCTTGCTTGATCGATTCTATAACCAAAAAAGATTGAGAAAATTTCTTGCTTTACAGGACAATACAAGAGATTTGAGAAGTAATTTGCGATACATATTCTAGAATAAAAAACAATTCAAAATTGCTCGAGATTGAGATAAAATTACACAAGCTCCGACAAGAAGAGTTGAGTGTTACTTAATACTTCAATAAACTATTAAGATACTAGTTACATTTAGATATGTATGATACATATGTATGGAAGTGCCCTCAAGATTCCATGATGCATAAAAATGATAGTGGAGAAAAGGTAGATAATCAAATTTTTATTGTGTCTAAATTAGAACTTAGATGAGGTCAGAGGAAGAATCATAGGGTTGAAACCTTCTGCCTACCACTAGGAAAGCATTTACTAAAGTTAGAGGAGAAGAAAATAGGAAAAAGCTCCTAATGGCAAGAAGTGTGGGTTCACGAAGCACTGAAAGTACCCCTATGTGCACAACTCTTTAATGATTCAAAGCCAAAGAAGAATCATTCTTTGTGGGAACATTGTTAAAAACTTGGTCAGAAAAAGGACAAGTTGACAAATCTATTGATTGGAAACCTAGAGGAAGGACCAAAACAACAAAGCCTGTTCTGCTTTCTCCGTTGAAGGATCAACAGGAGGTGTTGAAGAAGCTTCTTACCAGCACTATTGAGCTACCTGCCAGCTTGACGACACCAATTTATCATATCGTCCTTTACCTGTTGATAACAGAAAATTTCGACCTTGGATAATAAATTCAAGTGCTTATGATCATATGACTGGAGATATTCTCATCAACTACTAAGAGAGCGCCGCCTCCAAATTTGTTTGACTTGCTAATGGATCTTACTTTAGGATTGTTTATAAAGAAAAAGTGAAAGTCTCCAAAAATATTTATCTTTTTTATATGTTATATGTTCCCCACCTAGATTGTAACTTACCTTCAATTAGAAAACTTACTTATGACTTGAATTGTGCTATTAAATTACATTCTAACTTTTGAATTTCAGGTGTTGGATTAGGGAAGGTGATTGATAGTGTTGAATTGCATCAATGTTTATACTTGCTCAAGGAGATTTATTCCATTAAACATTGGTGTCTTCTCCACCATTCTCTTTTCATGTTCCTAAGTTGATTGTGTCCGAGTCTGTTGAGATTTGTTTTATTATGGCATTATCGTCTGGTAATCCCAATTTTTTTTTATGTTACAATGTTGTATTACCCCATCTCTTTATTAATAAAATACCAAAGTTTAATCAGCATTAAACCTATCAATTGACTAAGAATACTCGTCATGTATATCCTCGATCTTAGTACAAACATCACATTTTTTTTCTATCATCCATAGTGACATTTAGGGACCATCAAAATTGAAAATCATTAATGGAGCTAGATGATTTGTCTTTTTCGTCGATGATCACACTACAACTAGTTAGGTATTCTTCATGAAGGAGAAATTTGAAACTACACAAATCTTTAGTTATTCCATAACATAATTTACACTCAGTTCTAATGCAAAATTCATATTCTCAAAACTGATAATGCAAAATGATACTTTAACTCAATCTCGGGATCCTATCTTGCAAAGAATGGTATCATCCATATGAGTTCTTGTGTTGAGATTCCACGATAAAATATGATAGCTGAGAGG